GGGACGTCTTTGTCTACCATAATATTGAACCAGACAATATACAACTCAAGCAAATCCCTTTAGCATATGGCTCACATTCATACTCCAACCAAAATAGTTTGGCAGAATATATTACCATGATGAAAAAACAAAATCCCAGAGCCACTAAGGAGGAATTAGAAAAACAATTAATGAAAATATTTTAAGAAGAGGCAGAACCTGCCCAAATACATGATGCATCAGACACACCCAGCACTCCCAAAATAGAAATACCACTTGACACACCAGACCCATCAGGACATGGAATGTCCCAAAAACATATCCTGTATTAACTTAACAAATTCCAGATGTACATACCAAAGATTCTCGTTCATCCCTTTCAATAGTTTGTGATGTGACAGAAAGCAAGACAGATGTGACTAAAGTAAGGCAGACATGATTAAAGTAAGGCAAAAGTGACTAAAACAAAGCAGACGTGATTAAAGTAAAGTTGATAAGACAACACTACCTACAGACGTCACTAAAATAAAGTTGATAAGACAGCACTACTTGATGTGACAGCCACCACCTGTGCCCATTAAAGCTAAACGACAAATGCCACCTATAAAAGCCACCGACAAAGTCAAGTCTACCTGTCTACAAGCCGTCTTTTCTCAATAAAGAAAGATTCCTTCATCATCGAACGGACCACTTGGCATCCATCCAGGCCCTCTTTCCTCTATAAATAGAGGGCACCACTCCATTCGAAGCAAGGAGCAGGGAGCAGATCCTCAGAGCATTCCCTTGATCCCCTGAGCAGCCTCTTTTCTCATCTTTCTCTCTTTCTTCTTTGTAAAATCCTTTATCTATGTGTGATTGTAACCACTCTGTATTACTAAGTCACTGTCCACCAGAGTGGAAAAATTTCTGCAGTTATTATTTGTGTGTACTGTAAGTACTCTCTCTCTTCATTAAGTTTGTTTCAAGTTTGTTTTAGTTTGTAACGGTTTGATTAAAGTTGTTTGTAATAGTTTGTTTACAGTTTGTTTCAGTCTGTAACAGTTCGATAGTTTGTTTCAAGTTTGTTTCAGTTTGTAACAGTTTGTTATTTTGTTTCAGTTTGCTTTAGTCTGTAACACTATTGTTTGTAACAGTTTGATAGTTTTGTTTAAGCTTGTTTCAGTAAGTCTTTGTAACAGTTTACAGTTGTTATGATAATACGTGTTGTATGTAGCATAAAAATATATCGAACTACTTATAATATATGGATTACTATTGATATTACTCCTATATCTCTCGTAATTATTTTAATATTAGGCCTCTATTTCGGTTATTTAAGGCTAATAGTTTAGGTACACATGTTAAAATTAACACCAAGATCTACTACTGTTACTATTGATTGAGAACCTGCAGATATAGAGCTGAAAAACCATGAAATCGTGCGTCTCCCAATCTTTTAATAGTTTTTCGATTTGTCACAAAACTCACTCGAGTTGGATGGAGGACCAAGCCTTCGGGCCTTGGACTGCTGCAAGGCACACCCCTAGCCTAACTTTTATAAAGATTAATAAGAGAATCTAATTTGGAGAAGGAAACATGCATAAAAGCATGGGCAATGGTTACTTAGTAGAGGAAAGGGTTCTTGGTCTACATTCATTTAAGTAGTTCTTGATAGTGGATACAAAAACTAGAGCAAATTTTCAAGTCAAAAAACAAGACAAAATAGATTCCTTCAACACGCCATTTGCTAAAAACCAAGCTAACTTAATAAGTTACAATCATTTAAATAACAATTACAACCGTTTCTAGCCTTGTAGAACCACGGTAAATAAACTCAAATTCTCACCCTTTATGGGGCAATTACATATAAAGCAAGACTAACTTATGAATTAAACTTTCATAGCTCAAATTATATAAACTATCTCTCAAAGCTTAAATACATCATGCAACTAATCTAAACAAAATTATAAGAAATAAAATCAAGTAAACATGAAATTAAAATGCCAAATTAAAATAGAGAAGCCATGATTCAAACCCCTTGTGCCGGGGCACACAATCGGGCCCTATAAAGACTTAATTTATCCCTTCGGATTGTACACAAGTGGTTTAATCTCACAAGAGTGTCTAATCCAAATGAGAAGCAATTACACATATTAAAATCACTTCTTAAGATATCAACATATTGACATTATCATCCAAAATAGAATGTAAAATGTTTGAATCGAATCGGATAAAGAACAAGAGAGTTATGGCTAAACTACACACGGTGGTCCCTCAGACCACAAAAACAGTCTTGTATGGAAATATTATAAACCCCCATAGGTAAAAACGTGATGAAAAAGTCCTGAAAATTATATAACACTTTGAGACTAAATTATTTGATGGATTTGAAGTAAATTAATTAAAGGATACTATGCATGATCATGGATTCTTATGTATATAGGCTTATAACTTATGAAGGACCACACTATGAATAAGCATCATGAAAAAAATGATCAAATGGGAATTCTAAGATCAATAAAACTTTTCTAAATTCAAAACTCCGGCAACTATAGATACCAAGAATATGATCTTATGAGAAAAGAAAATTCAATGGAGTTTACCTTGATAAATCCACACTATGGACTTAAACATAAGAAAGAAGGACTACCATCAAGATCACGATTAATGAAACTCTAAAAACTCTCTCTCTTCAATTTTCTCTCACAAAACATTAGAAGAAAGAGTGGAGCAATACTTTCCCAAAAGGTTCAAGAGTTGAGATAGTTAGGGTTTGAGATCTCATTATGTGCTGTTATAAAGGGCAAAGAAGTAATTGACAAAGCTCACTCATGTGAAGATTTCTACTTTTTCAAAGCCAATCACATTGTAAATCTAAAATTTCAAATCAATCAATTTAAAGATAATGTCCCCATCACACAAGTGTGTGAAGATATTTTTCAACTCAAATTTGAAAATGCATTTTCTCTTTAATATCAAATAAGTAAATTAATTAAACTTCACACATGCCATGCAAGACCATGTGTGAGTTAATTAAGACATGTGATAAAAATGAAACCTTAATTTATAACATTATATAACAATATATAACAATATATAACAAAACACTATAACACAACCCCTTATAAAACAAGCAACCAAAAGCCAATCTAGTCCCCCGCATAGGGATCAGCGCCCAGTTGGGCGGTGATTCTAGAGTGAGGCGTGGTGTGCCACATGACAGCCCTATGGCCACTCGGACGCTACATGGCACTACCAGGTCAGGACTAAAGTGGAATTTGAGTCAAACAATCTGAAAACCCTTATTTTTTTAGCAAATAAAATTCCAAAAAATTCTTTAAAATTCACAATAAATATTTAAAGTATTTTTAGGAAATTATTAGGTTTTTCTCATCATTGTAAAAGCGAACAAAAGTATAATGAGATCTCAAGCTAATAACTATTGGTATCGGAGTACTTCATTGGGCTAGTCTCGAATGATGTTCCGTCGAGTCTCAAATCGACCCAATAAACCTATTTTCCACAGTCTAAAGCAGAGACACATAATTGGCCATATCAAAGTCGCTGAGCCAGAACTTCTGATCATTCTGCTCTTAATGGATTATAGGTGTACCTCAGTGGGATATGATCTAACTCAATTACAGGGGTCCTCTCAAAGCATATGTGCACTGGCTCTTCCAAACTTGGATAATGCATTTGGAAGACTGGCTTCCCGTATGAAATGAAAATACATATGCCATACAATGGTCTCGTGTCAGGATACATACTTATGTCCCATAAGTCTTGACTAATCCTACAGGGCAAATACTCAATAAGTACTCGAGTTCTATTTTTCTCGTTTGGATTCTCCAAGCCTTGGCCGATTGCAGCTAAACATAAGGCTAACCTATAAAATCCTAATTAGAAGGTGACCCTCACACCTCTTTGAGAAATTACTTTATCAACACGTGAACTCTTGTTGCCTCATGCGTACTCGAGGTAAAAGAATTTGGGCTCCACTTCGCAAGACGTCAAGATTTCAATCTCTCAATCGCTCCCATTGAATGAGAGACTACTGTAAATTAGGCCTTGATAGGCTATATTCCCAACAGTTTTTTGAGTGAATTACGTATGGACAAAAAAAACAAACAATAAAATTAATCATTTTTAGGTTAAAATTACGCAGAAGATTGGTCTATCTGAGGTTTTTTTAGTTTTTCAAAAGTACCCCTCGGTCCAAGGATACCATGTTCGAACTACATTTTAGATTATTTTTTTGCCAATACTAGATTTGTGGCCTAATGTTTGGGGTAGTGCCCAATCGGTCTGATGTTAGCATCATTGGACTGCCTTCTGTAGTGCTCTTCAAAACGGTCTGAGGTTGACATCCACAAACTACAAAAACTGACTCTGTTAAGCTTTCAGAGGCAGTCCGGGCTGCTCATTCTCGGACCGCCTTCTCTGGTGCTCTTCAAGGCAGTCCAAAGTTGGCATCCTCAGATCGCATTAGCTTATTTGTTTGCTAAGAAATAAGGCGGTCCAAGGATGCCAACCTTGGACTTCCTTTTGCATTGGGCATTGCCCCTCACACTAAGGCACTACCATACTAACGAATAAACTAAAAAAATTTAAAACTAAAAAGTGGAGCGAGAATGACATCCTCGAATTGAGAGGTAATTTTGAAAAAAATAAAAAGCCACAGGTTGGCCAGCCTTCCATGTAATTTTCGCCCAAAATTCGCCCATTTCATATTTTCCATCTCTTTTTTTTGTGTCCATACATAAATTACTCTAGTTCTCTGTTCATGTGAACCATAATGTACCCTTCAAACGTACAAGTGGATAATATATTTTCGATTTATAGAACCTTTAATATACCTCTCCTGCATTATATTCACCAAAGAAATCTTGAAATGCAAGCCCTTATGATACCTTTCCCTCACAGGCTTCACCAACAAATGTTGACAAGCAAGGAAGTTTCCAAACCCAAAATATAACAAAGAAAAAGCAATATTAATACTTTCCACTCTACAAGATCCAAAGACTCCCTCTTCTTTGGGGCTCTCCATTAAAAAGGTTTTGGGTTGTACAAATGCAAAGCATAAATGAGAAAATACATTTGCAAGGGAGACATATACTAATATATTCAAATACAAAATTCAGAATGTGCATCATTTTCCATTGATGGATCCTTCCTTTGCTTTCCTCACCTATGGAAAGCCATCTTCCCATTGGGGGATTGCGTCTTGTGCACCTCCATGGTGCCAAAAACCCCATACGTGTTGCTTTCCTCACCAGCTACTTCATCATCACTGGGTTGATCAGCTGCCATCAATTCATCAACATACTTTGCACTTTCAATCCTCAATGACATCTCCTTCTCCTTAATCCCCCAACCCTTAAGAGTCTCAACCACTACCCTCATGTTGGGCCTCTTCTCAGGGTCACCTTGAACACATAGCCCAGCTACATGTATGGCTCTCCTCAATTCACTCTCCTCATAGTTGCCTCTTAACTTGGGATCCACCAATTCATGAAATTTTCCCTTTTCTATGAGGGGTTCAGCCCACTCAGTTATGGTTTTCTTGAGGCCTCCAGGTAGTTTCTCTATTGGTTTTTTACCTGTGACTATCTCTAGCAGTAGGATCCCATAACTGTAGACATCACAGCTCTCGGAGACCTTACCCCACATAGCGTATTCAGGGGCGAGGTAGCCGAGCGTGCCCTTGACGCGCGTGGTCATGTGACTAACACCATCAGGGATGAGCTTTGCAAATCCAAAGTCAGCAACTTGGGCCTCGTAGTTGGAGTCCAGTAGCACATTGCTTGCTTTGATGTCCCTGTGGATTATGTGGGGCTTAGCCTCTTGGTGCAAGTACCTGTGAAAAGTTGAAGCAATTTTCATCTGTTAGCTTTTGTGTTCTTCCATTGAATGGGGGAAAATGAAGCAATGGACCAAGCCACATAGCATTGACAATGTCCTGCCTGGCTTAATTGTTTTGTATAAATGAGAATGGAGCATTTAACTGGTAAACTGTCTATTTTCATACTTTGAAGAAGCTGAATGGCCTTGAAGCATATAATGGGAATGGGATATCTTTTACATTCATGTTTTGTATAATCTCATAGTAATTTTACTTGAGACATGGCGGTCTAGCAACAAACAACTTCAGTGTATGGATGATTGATCCACGTTTGTACATTTTCTCATTGTATATCGAGAAAAAAACAAAGCAAAAAAAAAAAAATTGCTAAGAAGTAAGAAGTCATTCTTTGAAAGAATGGTATTAGTTCAGATTGACAATGGATTTGATATAAAATTCATGGAGTTGAATAAAATGGTTATATGAGATTAGGGAATTGTAGGGTTGTCAACTAGGTCTGGTCTACCCGACACGAGTGCAGCCGACTCAGAGTAGACTCCATGGTCATCCGTAGGTTGGAGGGGTGGCAGCAAAATTTTTTAAAAATTGGGATCTTACAGGCCGAAACTCGCCAAAATTTAAGATCACAATGCGAACAATTCGAATATAGTTAGGTTTCAGGGCACTTACAATAGGCCTTCTGCAGCACCGATGGCAACATTCATTCTTCTTTTCCAATCAAGCTGAACTTCTACTGCGAATTGGCCATGTAAATGGGAAAGCAAGCTGAGATTGGGCATGTAATCATAGACTATGAGCCTTTGGTCCGCACCAACGCAGTAGCCTCTAAGGCCAAGAAGGTTCTTGTGTCTCACCCTTCCTAGAACCTCAACTTCCACTGCAAATTCCATCTCTGCCTTTGAGTTCATAGCCTTCAATTTCTTCACAGCTATCTGCACTCATGTGGAGAAACCAGTGTTTAGAAACATGGAATTGGGCGTTGAATCGGGTGTCGGATGGGTCTGAGTCATCTTTGAGTTTCGAGTCTGATTGGCCAAGACTCTGTCTAGAAGCCCCTGTTTTGGTTTGTTTTGTTTTTTTTGTTTTTTTGTTTTTTCACTTCTTCTCTAAATACCTGCTAGAACTCTATCAAACTTGGCGCGGCACAATCAAAAGACTTGGGATATCCAGGTCTAAGCTATTCGGAACCGGCAAGGTGACCTGACGGTTCTAAGTGATTCGGGTGAGTATGATTCAAACTAACGAAGTTTATGGATATTGGGAGAATCAAAGGACGAGAAATCGAGATATCATACAAAACCACCTAGGTGTTAAATGAGCTGAGGGCACACGTTTGGTATGTGTGAAAATATTTTCGTAAAAGTATTTTTATATGAAACCCCATTTGACTTGGTGTGGCAATGTTTTTACAGCAATCAATCCTAACACATTTTTTACATTAATTAGTAATTAATTAGTGTGAAAAAACTCCTATACTTAATCATATAATGAGATTCTTTCATTTGAAAATACTTTTACAAAAATATTGCCCTTAAATAAAGTCACCAAAGGGAGCGAAAAAAGGAGTCGTCTTATATGTAGAAGTTATAGTTGCCGAGTATTGGTACAAGCATTAGTACATGACAACATAGGGACGAAAAAGTTCAAAATAATACTAATGTTTCTACTATAAGATTGTATAATATAGCTCCTTGCATTTAGGAAAAAGTATATAAGACGTCATTATACTGTAGAAATTTTGTTTCAATTTTGAAAAATCGTACAATGATCATCTTGACTTTGAGATGTAATAATTTTTTGGCATTTATAGATCTCTTCGATCCAGTTTTGGAGTTTTAAATTTCACAATTTAGCGTGAGAAGATATTTGTATGCCATTGTAAGTATTTCCGGCATCCAAACTCATCTTTAAGCAGGGTTTAGAGGTGCATTTTACAATTGTTTTTTAAGCTTCACAACTTACACAAATCGGATCCTTGCTTTGAGTACATGGATGTCTTTAGCCATCTATACAACTCAATGATTTTATTGGGGCAAATTGAAACGGCATTTACATTCATTATGTGCAAAATGGCATGAAAAATATGTGTGACATTGTTTGCAATTTATTCAGAATAATACCTATGAGACGTGCATTCAACCCTTAGAAAAGTTTATTATTCTCCCGCTGGAGTATATTGTGTATCTACTCCCTCAATATGGAAGTATAATTTGGGTCTGACATTTTGGGAACCACCTAAGGGTCACAAGATGATTATTTTCCTAAGTAAAACTTTAAATTTTGAGTTTTTTGACATTTAGTTCTCGCCCCTCAAAAATTGGATGGTCATTGTGATACAATATTTTTTCTTAATACATAGGGAGCTCAATTTGGAAATTCTTTTACTGAGGTTAGTCTACAGTTAAAAAGATTACATCCCCAAACTAAAATTAGTCCTATATTGGGTTTTAGCCGAGGGAGTAAAAGAAAAGTTTACTCCCAAGGGAGTATAAAATCTTTTGGGTAAACCTTAAAATGAATCACTTAATACTGGTACAATATAATTAGGAGTTTGGCATACGGATCCATCCGTGGCTGTAGAGGTATGGTACATCTTCAAATTTTATGAGGGTAAATAATTTTGATGTAAAATGTTCTTAGGATTATCTCAAAATCTATTTTTATATCTAATTATAAATTTAAAATTTCAAAAATGGTTAAAACAAATAGACCTATAAACATATGAAAATATTAAAAATGGACGGTGTAGATGATATGTTGTAAAATACACTATTTTTACGACTTAAAATCTTTTTATTTTTTATGGTAATACATCTCATTGTCGATATGATCAATCAAAAGGCTTTTTAACATTAAAAATACCTTTTTCGATGATGGATTTTTTATGTGCATCCATAGTTCTACATTATAAGGTTGCATCCTTATATAAACTTTTTCCATCAACTAGATATAAGATCAGTTGATACGAGTTTCTAATTGTCATCCCTGAATAAACATGAAAATGTACCTGCAATCCATCAGTGGTCTTCCCCCAATAAACACTCCCAAACCCTCCTTCTCCAAGCTTGTATTCTTCACTAAAACCATTAGTAGCAGCCTGCAGCTCCTTGTAAGTAAACACACGCCATGAGTTACCACCCACATCTTGCACCATCCTGCATAGACAAAAGCCCAAACCCTATTTAGAATTCCTCTAAAACCTCCTCTGAATTTGAAGCCATCTTGAAGATCTCTAAAACCTCTACTTGATGTAGAGATTAAAAAACAAGGCTCAGAGTCGGGACACGCAATGTGTCTGAGTCATCTTTATAGACTCGAACTAGTCTGGCTAGGAGTCGGGCGAGTCTGTACAAGTTGTAGTACTAAAATGTATGAACTGTCTGAGTTTGGACAGCTTCCACTCAGACTCGGCGCATTGCTGAGTATAAGGAATTCGGGCGAGTAGGTAAGAAAAGGATGCTAACCCACGGTTGGACTCCTTAGCTCCACAGCACCAGCCTAGGAGTGACCCCATGATAGAAAAGATACCAAAACACTGGAAAAGAATCCCAAAAGAAGGGACTATGAATCTTAGAGAATGGTGTGTATCTCTAAATGCAGGATTAGGAGTTTGTAGCTGGAAATGAGGAGGTCTTTTTGTTGTGAGAGAAGAAGTTATGGTGAGGGATTCGAGCTTGCAGCTGGAAATGAGAAGTTCTTTTGTAGTGAGAGGACTTTTTTGGTGAGAGATTACAATTTGCAGCTGGGAATGAGGAGATAATTGTGGAGAGAGAATGGAGTTAGCAGCTGGAAATGAGGAGGATTTTAGTAGGAAGAGAAGGAATTATAGTGAGAATAGTGATGGCTCCAAAACAGTGCCGTCCAAGGCCGGCCTTTAATTATGATGTCACCAATGGCGCATGGAATAATAGGGTCGAATTTGAACGGGTAAAACAATGGCCTTAAATTTTTTCTATTCCTTTCTTGATTTTCTTAAGTAATTTAAATAGAACTTGCTAAAAACCTAGGAATTTGAACTCGAAATAGGAAGAAATTTCATTTTCAAAATCTTTTGGGAGATAATTTCCGGGGAGTTTTTTTTTTATGATTTTTAAGGTTCAATGTTTGGGATGATGGAAAGTAAGAAACCCTTTAACATGGCAAAAATTGCATAATTTGAAACTTAATATTTTTATAAAGAGGTACTATATTGTGCTAAACAGCACAATATTTTAAGGTACTATTTATTATACAACCAAAACCTTATTATACAAAGAGATCACAATTACGAATAATGGTTAGATGCAAAATCAGACTGCTTGGGGAACCCTACAAATTTTTTTTTTGATTGAGCACCCTAATTAGATGCACTCTTCAATTTTACATCCGTTGTCCCAAAATGATTTGACCTCCTTAATTATAACACCAATTACATTAACTTCAAAAATTGAAGAAAAAACACGTACGCACACCGAAAAGGTCGTTTAAAAAAGCACATGTGTGCCTGAGAATAAAAAATTTAATGCTTGTGCAAAGCGAGTTTCAATCTCTTGGCTGCGTGGTATGGATTTAAGGATCGAGTATGCAACTTTGCCTTAGATAAATCTTAAATAATATGGCCCCACAAATAATTTATTTTTTTTCAAGAAATTTTAATTTTGGTAATTATTTTCATAAGTAACTTGGCAATTAGAACCCTTGAGTTCATGTTTCAGAGTTTTCCTAAAAACACATGACTACATAATTGGAATTGGGGTTGATCCGTTTGTTGTTAAATATTGTAATATTACATCTCAAGTTTGACTCCTAGAACAAAAGAAAAAGAAAAAAACTTGGTCGGTCTAGACTCCGAATTAGAGATCTCCGATCTCGACCTAATGTGCGATTACATGTCATATCCTTGGAAATTTACAAGTTTCCTCACAGTAAACAAAGTACAGATAACCACCTTAGAATCAACGAATATAATTAATATGACTTTTGATGGTTAGAATCAGCAAGTATAATTTCTGCAACTTTTGATAGCCAGAATCAAACATTTTATGGTTTAGGACTGTAGTATGTACTTTCATGCACTCCCGAAGTTGTGGAGAGAGTGAGAGTAGAGAGAGAGAATAAATTGATGCGTTAGCGAGAGAATTAGTGATAATATCTGATCTTTTGATTGCGTGTAGTTGGGCTTTAACCAAAGGAAGTGGGCCTAGAAATCCAAAAAAAGAAGGGAAAAGAAGCCTCAATTCTTCTAAAAGACAGAGAGCCCAAGAGGTGCATGTTGGCCAGGTATTGTAAGGCTGCACATTGGCCATCTACCATCCATCAATTATGCACGGCCGGTAGAGGTGCCCTGAAGATTTTGCAAAGAAGGTGTCCAAATCTCCAATGCTATAATTTATCAATATCAAAATTATTTTGATTGACAATTAAAGTTTTATTCTCCTGATTAAATAAATATACGTTATGAGACAGTATTGTTTCATCAATCTTCCTCCATATGACCCGATCTTGAAAAGTCATAACGTCGGAAAAAAAAAATAGCAATGCAATTCATGTTCTTAATAACATATCTAGTTAACTAGTGTGTGGACCATGCACTGTATACACTTGTATAAATGTCTTTTTTGGCTAAATTATATTGTGTATAATATTGAATTATGCCAAAAAAAATTTGTGCTCTCGTGTGTATTCCATATTTCACTCCCTAAAATAAAACCCTCTCAAGAGTTATTGTTGGGAACCCCAAATGCTGCATATGTAACCTCGTCAACCCCGTGACCAACTTTAAACAAACAAAACTTTCAAACGCCATATGTATACATCTTAACAATTGAACAACGGCCTGCCTAATTTTTAGACGGTCAAATCTAAATGTTTAAGATCTGAAACTCTATTTTTTAAAAAAAATAATTGTTAATAAAAAAAGAAAAGAAAGAAAAACCAAAAAAATCATCCAAACTGTGACGCAATTATACAGCATATTCTCCCACGGGTGCATGGCTGTTTAATCTGATTTGGTCAATCTTGAACCCGGAATCTGTTTCATCTTCTTGAGACAAGAACATGGCGAGTTGTGAATAAGAGTCGTCTAAATCTAAATGTTTAAGATCTGAAAATCTATTTTTTTAAAAAAATAATCTTTAATAAAAAAAAAGAAAAAAGAAAAAAAAAGCCAAGAAGATCATCCAAACTGAGACGCAATTATACAGCATATGTTCCCACGAGAGCATGGCTGTTTAATCTGGTTTGGTTAATTTTGAACCCAGAATCTGTTTCATCTTCTTGAGCAAGCACGTGGCGAGTGGTGAATAAAAGTGTGCTATTTAATGGGCTGATTGTTGTCTTCTTGCTGGTCTTATGCTGCCTTTGCACCAACAAATGACAGATGAAATCGGAATCCATAATTGTTGTATTTAAAGAGGAAGAGCCGCTCCAAAACGAAATTTTCTTCATGAAAGATCCAAATGCTCATATAAAAATCCTCTCTCTCAAATTTGACTCATGTAAACATCCTAATGCTCATAGAAAACTCCTCTCTCTCTCTCT